CCGCGTTTCTTCATTATCGTGGCAAAGAGTGGTTTGTATCTATGAGCGTTGGTGATCGAAGAAGGTTCAAAGAAGGCTGGAAACTTTTTGTTTTGGATAATTATGTCAAGCGAGGTTTCGTCGTCAAATTTACGTTGGTGGATGTTTCATCACTATATGTTGACTTCAATATTGAAACGAAGGGAGAAGGAACTCTTACTCGTAATCCGGTTGAAATTGATTAGTTTTAGGATGTGTTTATGTTTTTCTATCCCTTATTATCTTTAACCTTCTATTGTTGATTTAGTTATGCTACTTGTGCTTTTGATTTGCTATAACAATTTTCATTTCTTACGTATGAAATCAATTTCAAAGACTGTTTTTATTTTTATTTTTTTAAAATCAATTCTTCAAAAATGCTTGGTTTCAGAAATTCATGTACAACCATTTGAAAGTTGCACCTTAAATTCTTCTTATATATTTTTTATGGACTTGTTCATTCGGCTTATTTATAAGGATGTTGTTATAGAGAGGTCGGACTGTACTACTTGTATAATTTAATTCTCTAATGAAAGAGATTCAATTGGCCCCTTCAACACAGTTAGTTCCGACATTGCCTATTGTTAACTTATAAGAGTCAAATATTTAAAACTATTTTAAGCACTAAATATAATTTTATTATTAAAATTTATGTGTTTGGATAAAATGACATAACTGATGATGAAATAATTGGTGTGCTTTTTAAAAAAATACTGATAAATATTTTTTGTTAAAATGTTTGAAACGTCGTTAAATTAAATCAGTTTAAATAATTCATATTTATCACTACAAATAACTCTAGAGTTGACGATAATTATTTAACCAACAAACTAGCATAAGCTCATTTAAAAAAATTGAAAAAAACAAAACAACAACCTAGTATTTTTTGTCATTTGTAATAAACAACAAAAATTTAATTTAATTATTTATGTATATAATTAACTTTTAATCATGACTTGTTGCTTATTAGCAAATATTTTAATCTTGTGATATTTTGTGAAAATATGATAAATTTTAAATGTAAACGGATTGAATACATTTTTATGATTTTTTTATTATTGATAAAATACTAGATTTTTTCAATAACTTTGTTCAGGTTATATTCTTTTTTCAAAGTTGTGCGAAAAGTGTAAGCGGCAAAGTTCCCTCCTTGTTTTTTTCAAATCCCCAAATCCCTCTTTTAATTTACTTCTGCCGGATCTGTAATCCTAACTCCCATCCCCTTCTTCTAGACCATTTCTTCTCCTATCCCTCTATGTGATCTTCAACCCCCATCTAGCCTTTGCTCCAGTAAGATCTGTCACCGGTGGCGGATGTACATTGATACTTATAGGTGCTTGAGCATCCATTACTTTTAACCAAATTTAGTAAATTTACATAGACAATTATAAATATAGATAGATAAATATTGAGTGAGCACCAATAATTAAACTTTTTTTTCTCTTTTTTTGGATTTTTTACTGGCGAGTACCCATCACTTTAAAATTCTGGATCCGCCACTGTCTGCCACATTAACACCGTAATATATTATTTCAATTTCTCTCTTTCTCACAAGCACATACACACTATTTACAATGTTTGATTTTCTTCAAAAAAAAGTTTTTTATTTAACAATTTTAGAAGACTAAATCTGCAACGCTGCGCATTTACTTCTCATGCTTCTTTTGTTCATTACAGATCCAGGGCATGTCATATTATTTCTCATGCGGAATTTCCTTTCCTTGCATTTATTGTAATTTTCTTGTTAAGGTATGAAGAAATTTTGTTTGGTTTTCTTACTTTTGGAGTGGTTAAATACTTAAAATTTTATATTTTTACTCTTAATTCTTGTGGTTATTTGTAGCCAAAGAAGAATTGATAATAAATACTCCATTGCTTAAACTCGAGTAAGTATCTTTACTTATATCTCATTTGCTTCACTATTAATGTTTGAAAGTTTAATTTATTATTACTTGGTTTCTTTTCACAGGTATATGAAGGTGGAAATTTCTTCAGGATTGAATTATTAGACAAGTGGTTATATTAGCAATTTGAGGAAGCAACAAATTTTTATTTATTTTTTAATTTATCAATATTCTTGTATTTCCATTAGACTTTCATGTTGGATATATTTTACTTTATTTGTGTTTTAACTTATGAAGTTTGTAACAAAATATTATCTCAATATAGTATTAACTCTTTTTAATTTTATGTTCATGGATGGAAATTTTTGTTGTTACCTTGCATGTTATATCCTATTACTTCCAATTTATATAATAATAATTTCTCGAATTAAAGGAAAATCAGGTAACTAGTGACAAAAATAAAGTTTTCCAAGGATTATCTTATTGACGATGGATTAACTTTGTACTTTGTGACTATTGTAATTATCACTAATTATGATATTTTATGGAAAAAAAATTGTCGGTAAAAGCAATATATTTAGTGATAAGATGATAATTTTAACTACAAAATTGTAAACCATTTTTATAAAAGTAAAGTTGTCACTAATTTATATATTTAGGGACGAAATATTATTTGTATCTAAAAGGCGATCTTTAGTGACAAAATTACATTTATTCAACTACGAAATATACGTAACTTTAGAGACAACTGATATTGTTACTAATTAAACTAAATAATTAGTGACAAAGGTCGTTTGTCGGCATTAATAACCTTTTTAGTGACGAAAACAAACAACCAGCTACAAATTTTTTATATTTTTTTTGACGAACAAGGGGATGAACAAAAAACTTCGTTGTTAATATAACTATATTTAGCGACAAAACATGAAGTTGTCTTTGTATACTTTTAATGACCCTCTTTTAAGGACGAGCAATTGACGAATTAATTTTCGTCACAATTTTTTTTTGTGACGAAATATAAGCTTTAAGTGACAAAATAATTCATCACAGATAATTAAATTTGTTGTAGTGTTAAGTAGGGTATCATGTGTTTAAATCGTAGGGTTTTGAAGACCTACTAAAAAATATACGAAATACACACTCAAATACTAAACATATACGAAATGCACAATTAAATACATGTATATAGATGAATAATTTCAAATTATATGGGCGTATACTACAAAAAAAAGGATAAAAATACGTAAAAAAAAAAAAGTTTTATGGAAAATAGGGTTTGAACCCTTGAGATCTTCCATGTATTGGGAAGACAAATATTTAATGGTAGGAGAGAAATATTCAAAAGGTTACTGAAAGGGCATTTTGGGTATAAATATATGTCTGAAACCCTAATTAAGGCGTAAAATTACCTCAATGACCCCATTTGGGCCAATCTGGCCAAAAATGGTGTGGCCAAAAGGATTTTTCCTTTTTCCTTTTTATCCTTTGATCTATTCCAATTGCCAGCTCCGAAAATGCCAACTGTTCTTAGTTCTTATTGGCCCAGAATATTTAATAGCTGGTTTACATAGCTTTAAAGTGGAGGGACACAATGCATATACACAATACTCCTTTACTTGATTTTTTGGTTGTTTTCCTACATATTAAAGAATTCACATTTTATTATTAATTGACAAAAAAAGTGATCATATTAATCTTAATTTGTTCATTGGAAATATACCAAATACTCATAGACTCTTTACTCTAAGAATAATTTTGAAAAAAAAAGATAAGTCATTCTTGATATCTGAAAAAATTAAATATTATGAACAGAAAAAAATACCAAAAAATCAAATAAAATGAACCAGATGAAGTATTGAATATACTTGTATCGCCCCGAATATGTACTAATATCTCTTTCCTGCGTAGAACAAAATTTGATTGAGAAAATATTTGTGACGGTTAGTTATCAGTAGCACTCTAGCCTTTAATTTGTAGTGAACTGATTACCACGAAAATTGACGCATCTGTGGCGATCTTTTTAGCTTCTCATCACCAAAGGCCTTTTAATTAGTTTTGCATTTTAGACATCAATTCCAAAATGTAAGTTCCTTGTACGATATTTTAAAAATCAAGTAAAATGTAATCCTATTCAACCAATTCATCATCTTCAATCATTCAAAGCAGTTAGAAGAAAGAAAAAATAAACAAATAAAAATCATACTTGTAATCAACAAAGAAGAGAAAACTAAAAGAATAACAAAGCAATATCCGGAAAAGCTATAACCATGTCAAAGTCAACCAATTAAAGCCGCTCATCAACAATACTACCATATTTGGGGGTTTAATTGCAAGAAAACATAAACGTAGATGCAATATTGAAAATCTTTATTAAATAAATAAAAAAATAACTCAAAAAAATCAAAGTCCTGACTTATGAATCTAAAAGAAATAATTCTGCAAAAAAGAAAGAAAAAAAAATTGTGAAGATAAAAAGTTGAAAGACTTGAGAGTGAGAGAGAAGAAGTGAATGAACTGAGAAAATTTTATAGATTGAAAAAAATACTAGTTGCTCAACTACAAGTCTGCACTCAGTTAATTTTCTAATTTTGTGATGTTAAATACATCTTTGTGCTAATATTTGAGTTTTCATAGTACATTATTCTTTTACAAGCAACCTGTTGCATTAAGATCTTGAAAGTCGAAAAATTAGTTTGTCATTAATTTTTTTTATTTACATCTGAATTGATTTAAAACTCTGTTTCCATTTCCTAAGTAAAAGGAGTATATAGTACTAAAATATCACGTCTACCATTTGACAGTTTATCAACAATTAATAGAAATTTCTTTCCACTGATTAAGATCAGGATTGAAAAGTTATTTTCAGAAGTTGACATTTATCGGGTGTGTTTGGCATGTAAAATTGTTTATTACTGTCTTTACCGACTAATTAAATTATTAATTATCTCAAAGTCCACATCTAGGATTTTTTTCTTATTACTTTTTTGTAGTCGTTAATCATGTGATTTATTTAATATTCCAATGCTTGTACCACTTTCTAGTCTATGCTCCTCTTCATTCTATTTGGAAATTTTTAAAGTTCTTCCAACGGGGTGCCCACTGCACTAATTTCTCTGTTTACCCAAGCAAAACTATATATTAGCATTAATGACAGTTGATTATTTGTCCGGGTCAACACATATCTTTTAAACTAAGATTTTAGTTGATTTTAATAGATATGCACAAGCTAAAATCTTTGTCAGTTGGAGAAGTGGTTTTCTTTATGCTAACTAGCCATCCACTTGATGGAAAGGGCTAAATAATTTCATTTTTATATGGGCACTAAGAAAGGTACGTTTTTTCCATTAATAACGTGAACGTTAAGGGGTAAAGGGAGAGAAACAAAAAATAATCATTCTGAAAGCTTAAAAGACTTTTCATATTTCTCTATCAGTCTATCTTCTCAAGGATAATTATGGATCAATATCATTATTTTCCTGATAATTAATTCTCCATTGTTTTACGAATGTCAAGAAGTTCTAACATTTGGATATTTATGTATTTGACAGTTGTTGATTTCCTACATTTTATAACTGAAAAGCTCATACGAGCGGTGTCAGAAGGTACCAAAAATAAACTTTTACTACTTGTCGTAGATAATAAATTGCGTCCAGAAAATAAAATTAAGACCGAAAAATATTATAATAATCGTAGTATTTTATTTCAAATAATATGAGTGCACAATTTTTATGAATCTCTGATTCTTATTTCCAATAGTAAATAAATTCAAGGGCCTTTGAGTTTGATCTTGAATCTATATTTGTTGCAACGAACGATTATCTTGAACTCAACTAGCACACACTTTCATTAGAACCCGTACTCCTTGAATCTTGATTTGTTCTTCGTTCTTGAGCTTGGACTTGATTTCTTGAACTTGAACTTGATTGCTTGAAGGTTGAAACTTGTAGAGAAATTTGCGGCGTTTGATCTACGAGTTCTCTCTTGCTTATTGTTATTGATGGATTGTTATATGCAGCGGAAGCAATCCCAGTATCCAAATCACATGTAATCTAGACAACTAGCATAAACGGGATTTCACGGGTTACCTCTTGAAGCGTGAACAAAGCTCATCTATCTCGTGAGCCTCCAATTCCACAGCAATTCGATAAAATCTCCATCACCCGCACAATCACGATCTCCGAACGTTCCACGGTCTTCTACTGTGTTGCCCAAATAATATCCGGAAATAGTAATTTCGTGTGGGCGAAATTTTCTAGGAAAAAAGCTGAATTATTCGGCCATCTTGACTACTCCCCCTAGGTGGAAAACCTTATGTATTTATAGCACAAGTTTTAAGGGTTAAAAACTTTTTCCAAAACCTGTTAGGTTTTCCTTTCCTCCAGAAAAAATGATTCCTTTATTTCCTATTATTTAGGCACAACAGGGACCACAAAATTTAATTAACAAGGCTTCCAATTATGGAATTAATTTATAATTTTCGAAATTAATATCCACCATAATTAATTACGAATTATTCCACTAAATATCCGTAATTGCACTCCTTATTCAATTTCGAAATTCATCCATTAAATCTTATTTAACTCCAAATGTTAAGATTCAGATACTAATCAATTAAATTAAATTACTGACAATTTAATTTATTGATTATTTCTTTTAGACTTTCGCTTAACTCATTTCATGTGTCAGATACAAAATCCACCGGCCGGGTTTACACATAAAAATTTATAAGCTTTCATAAAGGTGTATCATTAATCTCTAAACCGAGACATGGATTCCATCAACTAACTATTAGTTCGCCAATGTATATTATTATTATTATTATTCAATTTACCAGACATATTGACCCACGAAAGAATCTCGCCTTTTAATAAATCAAAACAATAATAATATACACAACTAATAATAATTATATCAAGATTAAAAGTATAAGTACATTTAATGGCTAGAGAGTTTATTTTATTAAGTCAGTATAAAATACTTATCTCTACCTGGTCCGTTCAATCATACAAAATGTACTAGCACAAAAGTTGGAATTAAACTGTCATGACCCCGGTTCGCGCTCCGTGAACCATCGTGACGGCACCTAGTCTCTACGACTAGGTAAGCCTAACAATGCTGAAAAATAAACTAATTTGCAAAAGAAATAATTTAAACCGAAGTAGTGAAATAAAACAGTAATTTAAAGTGCCGCTTGACATACACAATAATAACTCTCGAAA